CAAAAGCCTTTGCATAGTCAATGAAGCACAGATAGACATTCTTCTGGTATTCTCTGCTTTCTGCCAAGATCCATGTAACATTAGCTATAATATCCCTAGTACCACAATCTCTTCTAAATCCAGTCTGCACATCTGGCAGTTCTCTGTTGACATACTGTTCCAAACGTTTTTAGATAATTTTCAGCAAAATCTTGTTTGTATGTGATATTAATGATATTGTTTGATAGTTTCCCCACTCTGTTGGGTCACCTTTCTTTGGAATGGGAACAAATATCGATCTTTTCCAGTCCCTGGGCCAGCTGGCTGTCCTCCAGATTTCTTGGCACAACTTAGTGAACACATTCAGGACAGTGTCTGTTTGTTGAAATATGTCAACTGGTATGCCATCAACTCCTGGAGCCTTGTTTTTTTGCCAATTCCTTCAGAGCAATTTGAACTTTCTTCTTCATCACCATAGGTTCTTGCTTATATTTTATTTCATTAAATTCGTCCATGTCAGCCAATTCCTTCTGATACACTGAGACTGTGTACTCTTTCTATCTTCTCTTGATACTTCCTGGACTAGCTAGCCAGCACCCCGGCGTCATTGCCAGAAAAAGAGTTTTTGGGATTCAGGGAGGAGAGAGAGGCGGAACATTCCTGATCAGGCATTATGTGTATTGCAATAACAACCTGGCACAAACAGAGAATACAGAGCAAATGAGAAGGAAAGGAAAGGGGGGGAGAGAAACAAACAAGTAAGAAATTAATGAAAGATTTACACACAGAGAGAAACAATTATGAAGGGTTGAAGGGGAAATTATGAAGATTGACCGTGGGAAAGGAAGTAGAGATTGCCATATAGGTGGCTAGAATGAAAGAAAAGAGGATAATGAGATGTCAATAAAATGTTGTAAATAATAGCATTGTGCAATTATAATGAATATTATAATAAAAATGCATATGACTAATGAAAAGCAATAAAAAATAAGATATAAATATTTCTAGGCATATAAGCAATGCTTTATTTTAGAATATTCTTCATTTAATGGTTAATAATTTTTTAAAGCCATAACAGAGCATCTCCCTCTCATGATATCTAAAACCTATAAACAATCTAAATGCCAAATGATAAGAAATTAACAAGTTTGTGCATACCTGTACATTGAAATACAACTTTATGCAGTTGATTAATTTTTTTAAAAGTAAAGCATTTTAGTGAATGGAAAAATAATCATAAGAGTATGTGCTCTCTGATTCTATTTCTATGAAGTTGAAGTACAGGAAAATTTAATCTACGTTAGAACAAATTAAAACAGTGATTTTCTTTGTATGCAAGCTGAAGTTTAATTATGAAAAGGCAAAAGGATATTTCCTGTGATTATAAAAACACTTTAAATGTCCATTTCATTGGGCATAGTTCATGACTAGAGGCATTTGCTGAGATTAATCAGAACATAACCTTTAGATAACTCTTAACAAGTATGAATTTTATAATATGTATATTATATTTTAGCTAACAAAATTAAAACAAAATCGTTTATGAGTATAAAACCCTTAAAAATATAAGAAAAAGTTAATTAGACACATTAAAAGAAGAAAAAATATGCATATCAAAGAAGGTAATTTTCCCATGTTTGAAATCTAGTTTTATCTTGCAAACCCCCACCCCAATTTTTTCCCCATAAAAATTTAAGATTCAAGAAAATAGTTTTCTTAAAGCAAGAAGTTGAAGAAAATACTTAATGGGTCTTTTTTTCATTTGTTGTTGTTAAGTGCCATCAAGTCTTAGGCCACTCATAGTGACCCTATGAATGAAAGTCCTGGACATCTGTATAACTTTCATCCTTTCTCCAGGTTCATAGGGTTTCCAGAGGCAAGGTATTATGGAAGTGGATGCCACTCCTGCTTCCAAGTTACACGACATTATTCTTAATGTTTCACTAAAAACAATTAAAGGCAGGCCGGAGGACCCTATAGGATTATAAACGAGCGCCTAGAGCAGGCTTCGCAGGCTCCACCACACCCTTACTTACCCTTACTGTTTTTCTCATATTAAATGCTAATATTGTCCTAAGAAGAGTGGTCTCGATTAGTTTAGAAAATCATGCAAATGTAGTATTATTTAAAAAAATACAGCTGTTAGCACAATCGTGGAAAAGAGACTGATTTGTGAAACTGAGCAAAATAAAATGGAGAACATGAAACAGTCAAAGAACATAATGGTGGTTAACATAGAAGTGGGAGACTGGGCGCTGCTAAGTTTGCTCTCCTTAAAGCCTGCTTCTTCTTGCACTCCTGCTGCCAAAGCAGCTTGGGGACTCCTGCTCTGGGCCTTTTATTCCGTGAATTCCTGTCTCCCTCTCCTGCTTCTTCAGGCGAGGACCTGGGGATCACAGCTTTTATTCTTTGCTAGGCACAAACACCAACTGTTGGACCTCAACCACCAGACAGAAACGTTATGGAAAGTGCCGGTTCTACTGTTCGTCTTGGGAAGCTCCTCGCCCTGGGTTCTGGCGGAAGCCAACCTGGAAGATTTCACAACAACTCAAGGTACAGAAGGTGGCACGAAGACTCCAGGTTGGGAAGATGGTGCAGAGGTCACAGAAAAGCCCTTAGAAACCATTCACTTGACAACTTCGGTGCCAGCAAGTACGAAGACTGTAATTAGGACTCCTGCTGAGCACAGTTCGGTCTGTGATAGGAACACCACAGCCTCACAAGGGGCCACTGGCCATTCCGTGGATGGTTTGGCAACCTCAACCCTGGTTGGAATCATACTTGCAGTGTCAGTAGTCGTTGGTCTTGTTGGTGCAATCATCCTAGTAGTTGTGCGGAAAAATGTCAGGAAGGCCCTGAAAATTTTTCACAAGCTCAAAAATCGTGCCCTTCTGCCAACATGTTTAAAGAAAGGGTTTCCTATTTCACCCTACCTCTGACCCCAAGAAAGATGATGTTCTATGGAGATTCTGCCCACCTCGCCGTACGTCCATGGTGATCCCTCTATTGGCAAGCCAAAAAGAACGGAAGGAAAAAAGAAATACACTGGACTCTTGCCTCTAAACATTTGCCTTTTAGAACTTTTAATAAAAACTAAAAAAACAGAGAGAGAGACTGTAAAAGAAGATGTAAAATACCACATGCATCGAAAATGGAGCAAAATGGTATCAACGAATTTGTGACTTAGACAATATGATTAATTATATTCCTTATAGACTAACATTATGTCTTCATGCCAGACATTCCCTGTTATTGTCCATAAAAGGAATCAGGAAATAGTGATTTCGAGGACGTTCTCATGCATCGGTAGTGCTTTCTCAGTAACTGACTCCAGCATTTTGCAATTGCAAAGCTGTTGAAATGTACACATTCCAGTTTAGTGTGTTTCTAAAGTCCTAATTTGGTGTGAATAATCAGTGAGAAAAAAAAATCCCCCACTTGGATAATGAGCCTTTAGCTGGTCAGATAAATAATTCCAAAAGTAACCATTCATAAACAGGAAATCTGCACTTTGAGGGGAAAACTTGTTAGGGGCAAGGCCACCAGGTTGCCTTCTCTAGCGATGATTTGATGATGCACTGGTTTGCTCCTGTCTGATTCCTTTCCTCTCTTCCCAAGTGATGGGATCCAGAGATGAAGGATGGCCTTGTCTCTTTTCCATGACTCAGCACTTGCAGATTGTCCATGTTCTTTGGGAAAGTGGTGCCAAGGGGGCTGCTGTTCACCCTGTGATGCCAGGGTTCACTATTCCATAAAGAAAACAAGAAACCACATTAGTGCCCCATGCTACTGACACGGGGAAATAGAAGCTCCTGGCTTAATCACGTTTACTCCCTCCTTCAAAGCAAAGATGGAAAGAGAAAAAGCCTGTGAAGTAGATTCTCCAACCCCCCCCCCAAAAAAAATCTCCAGTCTAAATGACATACCACTTATTTCTGTAGGACTACATTGAAAAGATCAAAACAAAGGCATTAGAGGCACCATTCTGACTGTGTACCATCTCCTTGGGCCAGTTCTTCATTGGATTCATTTTCCTAAACAATTCTCTTAGCAAGCAGGTGCACTATGAGGGCTGTGGTTGTGTAATTTTGGTAGCTTCTAAACTCACAAGGTTCATGAAATAGGAAGAAGTAAACCACCAGCAGGAAGGACAGCTTGTTCCTTTTTTTTCGTGTCCTGGTGTGTGGATGTTCAGCATATTGTCCTTGTGTTATGCGAATCCAGCTGCCCCATTAGCCAAGGTTCTGTGTTTGAGTATCAGCTAATTGAGAGTCAGAAGCATATAGAAGAGCTATGTAAACTTAAATATCCTTCCTTTTCAATCCTTTACATTCCTGAACAGGAGTTAGGAACAATACTCATGTCATCTTTTCTTTTCTTTTTTTTTCTTTTCTCTCCCTCACTGTGAAAAATAATAGTTTGCCCCAAGTCAGACACTGGACCCCAATACCTGCTGGAACAGGACTGTGGGTGTTTTGTTCATGACTATGTTGATCCTCAGTGCACTATAGACGTGAGACATGTTTTCAAATAAAACAGATTGTGTACAAAAAAGAAGAAGAAAAAGGAGGAGGAGGAGGAAGAGGTGAAGGAGAGGAGGGAGGAGAGGGAGGAGGAGAAGGAGGAGGAGGAGATGAAGAGAAAGAACAACATAAAAGGCTAGTGCTCCTAATTTTATTGACAAATTTATAAAATGGAATAAAATGTTTAAAGACAGAAAAAAACCTGTAGAAATTGTTAAAGACTAATGTTTACAGACTAATGTTTATGTCAGAAAAAAAAAAAGAAAAAAAAAACCCAAACACATCTGAGCAACTTTTATACTTGATCTTAGCCAAAACACCAATAAATTATTGGGCATCTTTTGATAAAACACTTCTTTAACCGAAAAAAAAAAATGTAAAATTCTACATACATCATATAAAAAAGATAATATTCTAATCAAGGAATAGTATGGAAATTCTACACTTCTTGAAAGGAGAATGTTGTTGTTGTTGTTATTGTCATGTGCCATCGAGTTGCCTGTGTCTCACTGCAACCCTATGTACAATAGCCCTAAACCCTGCTGTATTCTGTGCTGATCTCATAGTCTCCGACACTGAATCCCAATTACCTCAGTCACTAAAATAATCCACCTCATAAAGCGTCTTCCTCTCCTGTGCTATCCCTCAATCCTCCCAAGCATGACATCCCTCTCCAAGGACTGACTAGTCTCTTCTTGCAACATGTCCAAAGAATGTCAGATGACGTTTCAGAATCCTTGCCTCCAAGGCATAGCCTGTTTTAACCCTCTGTAGGATGAACCTGTTCATTTTCTTAGCAGTCCATGGTATATTCAATACTTTTCTCCAACACCACAGCTCTAAGGCATCAATTCTCCTTCTATCCTCCCTAGTCATTGTCCAGCTCTCTGACGCATAGCAAGTGATTACAAAGACTCTGGCCTGTATTAGGTGCACATTAGTCTCCAGAGCAACATCATTGCTCTTCCATACTTTGGAGCGGTCTCTAGCAGACTTTCCCATCGCAAAGCATCTTTTAATTTCCTGACTGTTGATGCTAAGAATGTTGACTGTGGAGCCAAGCAAACTAAAGCTGTGAACAATCTGAATCTCTTCCCCATCCCTCCTGATACTGCCAATTGGCCCAGTGATGAGAATCTTTGTCTTCTTGATATTGGGCCTTCATACATATTGAAGGCTGCAATCCTTGACCTTCTGCAATAAGCGCTTCAGGTCCTCCTCAGTTTCAGCAAGCAGGGCTGTGTCATCTGCATAATGCAAACTGTTGATGAATCTTCCTCCAATACTGATGCCACACTGCTCCTCATACAGCCCAGCCTCTCAGGTAATTTGTTCTGCATATAGGTTGAAAAGGTATGGAAATAGGACACATCCCTTCCATACACCCTTACCAATTTTGAACCATTTAGTGTCTCCTTGTTCTGTTCTGATGACTGCCTCCTAGTCCAAGTGTAGGTTTCGCATTAGCATATCAAGTGTTCTGAGATTCTCATTCTTCTCAGAGTTAGCCATAGTTTGCTGTGATCCACACAGTCAAACGCCTTTGCATAATCAATGAAACACAGACAGACATTCTTCTGATACTCCCTGCTTTCAGCTAAGATCCATCTAACATAGCTTCAATATCCCTAGTACCACGACCCCTTCTAAACCTAGACTGAACTTCAGGCAGTTCTCTGTTGATGTGCTGTTCCAGTCGTTTTTTTTTTATAATCTTCAGCAGAATCTTGCTTGCATGTGATGTCAATATTGTTCGATAATTTCCACACTCTGTTAGATCACCTTTTTCTTGGAATGGGAATAGTGGATTAATACCTAAAAAACTAGTGGGGGGGGGTGGAATCAGTTCTCCAGACATTATTTTGTTATTGTCATAAAGTCAACTATGAATCACAGTGACTCTACGAACACAGATATGAACTTCACCTTACCCTGCACCATGCTTACCATCTCTGATACGTTCAAACCTACTGTGATAGACTGCTTATGTGGAGCTTCTCCAGCATTTCTTTCCACAGATGCAATCAATCTGATTTCTGTATAATCCATCAAGTGATGTCATTGTACAAAATTCTATCATTTGATCTCTAGTGTTTTCTGTCATCAAGGCCGTATTTTCCAGCTACTCATCCTTCTTCATTTCCAACTTTTGCATTTCAGTCACCAACAACTAATAACACATCTTGATTGCATGTCTGATCAATTTCAGACTTCAAAAGTTGCCATAAATTCTCAATTTTTTCATCCTTGCTTTTGTGATTGGTGTTATATCTATACATGTTGTCAATAAAGTATGTAAGTAACTTAGAACCACTTTTCCCCCAAAAAAAATCTACTAAATATCTCTAGTCATATATTGGATTAAGTGTTAGTCTGCTAAACAAGAGAGAATAGGATTCACGGCTTTTTACTCAGGTACAAGAATGTAAGATAATGTTCTAATTAGGACTTCATTTAACTATAACCATTAACCTCCTTTGATATATTTCTCCTAAGGTTCTGAAATTTCATTACTAGTAAATGATCCTTTGTTTTGTACTTTGTTAAACCTTACCTAATTTGTTCTGACCTCTTGATTACTTGCTATACATCTGGAAGTTGGACAATGAATAAGGTTACTGGAGGAGAATTAATGCCTTTGTGTTGTGATATTGGAGAAGAACACTGAGTTTCCCATGGGCTGCCAAAATAATAAACAACTCATTCTTAGAGAAAGTGTGACCAGTGTGCTCCTTAGAGGCAAGAACAGTGAAACTTTACCTCACATAATTTGGGCATGTTGTTAGGAGCAGCCACCCTTTGAAGAAAGACATCATGTTTAGAAGGTAGGTTAGTAAAGGATGGGAAGATCTGCAACTGATGGGAAGATAGAATGACACAGTGAAAATAAGGAAACATTCATATCAATTGTTCATAGGGTCACTGTGAGTCACAGTCAACTCAATGGCATATAATAATAACAAGAAGTAATTCTGATGGCATAGTTTGGAGTATGTTACACTGTGAATCAAAACGTTGATTTTTTTCAAATCCACCAGCTACTCTTAAGGTGAAAAATGGGAAGTCTTCTCTGATGAAAAATTTATAAGCCTCCAAAACCCCATGGAGTGTTACTAAGAGACAGAATCAACTCCATGGCATTGTATTGGGTTTAACTCTTACTTAAATACAAATATTTACTATGCAAGTCACACATCTGTTGTTATGTGCCATTGATTTGATTAACTCAAACAATTGCTAAGAAGGTTCTGAGACAAGAAAAAGAAACAAAATGATCTCACAGTGTTTGTAAAATGAGAAGGGTAAAACAGCATCAAGAAGCTCTAAGAAAACATTAAAAAGTATTATTAAGTTCACCTTTCACTATTTTACACTTAACTGATGTGAAATCATGATTCTCACTGTGTTTGGAGGCT